TGCTGCTTTTGGTATGCGCTGCAACGTTCGGAAATGTGAGGCCCTTGTTGTGGCTGCTTCCGTTGATGTCGTTAAGAGGGCGTNTGAGGGGGTGAGGCTCATGCTTCCTCTCCGTACTGATGGGTCGCTTTGGCACCCACCCATGGTTGGTAGTTTACTTGTTCCTAGTCCTATTAACTGGTGTGGTCGCGTTAGGTACTTGGGTCTCTATTGGGGCCCTGCATCCCCGTTTGCGAGTTGTGTCAACGAACTTTTGGAAGCAGGGCGACGGGCTATGTTCGGTCTTAGTAATCGGTTGGATGAGAACAGGGTGTGGGCTCCTGCCGTTCGGCTTCAAGCGTTCGACACCCAGGTCCGTTCGGTTCTCTGTTATGGTGCTGAGGTCTGGGGTCCTGATAGGATTGTCTCCGTCCTGCGGCTAGGTAAAGGTGTTTTACCCGCTGGTAAGTCATATTTTGATTTGGCTTTGGAAGATGGTATGGTCCAGGTCCAGCGTGACTTCTGTTTACGTTGTGCTGGGCTCAAGCAGGTACCTTACAAGCTGTTGTACAGGGAGCTGTCTCAGTTGCCTTTGCAGTACTTTTGGTTACGCCTTGCGTTGTGTTTCTGGAATAAGATAGTCAAGTCCCGTGGGTCGGTCTATCATGACGTGTTAGTAGATGATCTCCGTCTGGCTCTTCTGTCTGATCTCAAAGTGGATTGCTGGTCGTCTAAAGTGCTCATCATTTTGCGTTGGTTGGGCCATGAGTGGCCGGCGTGTGACTCCGTTTCTCAGAAGGTAGATGTATACTCGTCTCAGTTGATTCGAGTGGGTGAGGTTCTGGAGAGGTTATCTGCGTTCCTTTTAAGTGACTGGGATCAGTTCAGCCAAGGGGGTGATCCGCGTGTGTTCCAAGGTAAAGGGGTTTCGCTTTGCAGGTATCATAACTGGATGGGCTCCCCTTCACCAGCAAGAGAGGGCTCCGATCCCACAGGCTATTTGCGTGTTTATTTGCCGGCCAACCAGTTGCGTATGGTTGCCAAATTCCGTCTTTGTTGTTGGCCTTTGGAGGTCAACATAGGACACCATAGGCCGAGAGAGTGCCGTACGTGTCAGGTCTGTACGTCGGGTAAGGTTGAGGATGAATACCATGTGCTCATGGAGTGTGAGGCGTATACTGAGTTGCGTAATAGGTTTCTGATTAACGTTGAAGATACTGATATGCGCAAGGTATTTCTTAATACCAATCCGAGGAAAATCGCTACTTTCCTTACTGAGGTTTTTGATGAGCGTCAACAGCGTGCTCTGGAGCCTCACGGCTCGTGAGGGCACCCGCCGCGTCGGCGGCGGAAATACTGTAACCACAATACAATACAATACTAAGCCATAGCAACCCAAACATGGCACATGGTACGGCGACCCAAGAGACCGGACATGAATAAACCCGACACAAATCTCCTAGCGGCCAGCATCACATCAAAAGAGCGCCCGGCATCACAATACCCTATGTAGCTATTGCGAAAATACATACCTCCATCTCCACAGCGAAATTTGCACTCGCACTTCCACATTGTCTATCCACACAAAACGCTTTTGTTGCAAGTAAACACTACGCAAACTGATCATCGAGGCACATATACAGAAAATACAATACAATACAATACAATACAGCAGGTACAGGTACAATGAAGCTGAACTTATAGATACCAGGCAACGTTAATACGATTCTGCGAAAATTTCTTCCCCCTCCCGGCTCCTCCCGGGTTCGACGCCACCACCGCCGGAGCAGTCAGCTAGTTTTCGGCACCGGACACCGGACGAAACGACTGAACGAACGATTCATCCCCCTCCTCCTCCCCTTCCTCCCCCACCACTCCTAGATGGCCGGCGTACCCGCCGCCAGCTCAAGTGCCGCCCACAGCTGCCCCTCCGCCACCCGCACCCGGACAGGACCGAGGGTTAGATCCAAACACACAGCCAGGCCCCACCACCCCTTCCCTCCTCCGCCGACCTTTCCAAGCTCTAGGCAGCGGTAGCAGCCTCCTCCTCCTCCTTCTCCTCCTCCTGCTGCTCGCTCGCGACGGTGCACACGCTGGTGAAGGGACACCTGAGGGGAAGTAAGGGGGGGGAGGGGGGTGCCTGCCATGGGTTTGTCATGCCGTACAGGTATACCAGGCGCCAAGAAACAAAGCGTGCGGGATCAGCAGGTGAAGTGAGAGAGAGAGGGGGATTGCTCGGTTAATACGAATATGCCGTAACCTAGGGCCGTAACCTAGCGCCGTTAGCCGCCAACAATTCACTTCGTCCCCAGCCGTCAACCGCCAAAACCACCTCACTTCATGCTCCCATCACTAGCCTCTTGCTTCTAAACCCACCCCACCCCAAACTGCAGCACACCAATACAGACGCACGCAAACGCACATATAGAAACACACACTCACACACAAGAGGCACTCGCCTGGGTCGGCAATTATTGGGCAGCTCAAACACCCCTGCAGGGGGGGCCTCCGCCAAAAAGCTATCCGGCCAGAAGGTCATCAGGTCGTTGGGCATCTGGTCCAACTCCAACGGGATCTGCTCCGGGTCAGCTGTCGCATACCTGCCGGGGGGCGGGGGGGCACAAACGTCTCGTATAGGGCCGCGATGGCAAGTACGCCTACAAGACAACAGTATGTGGGAGCAATCCGGAGGGGGGGAACCCTCTCCTCTGCTCTACATCGCAACAAGTCAGCCACCATTGCCAACACCCAACACACGTACATGTCACTCCAAACCCCCGGACACCCTTCCCCCTTGGCGGGGCCGTACATCCCCATAAGCCAGCAGCATCAACTGCCTCCGTACGGCCACTTGCAGTACGATAGCCCACTTGGTCAGCAGTTGGTTGGTTCTTTGTTTTGTGCATTCCCTGCCACTTGGGTCACCCACCGCCTCTCACCACTAACCCCTAACCGCTAACCGCCACCCACCAATAGTTGGGTTGCAAACCGTCCTTGCGCCACTTGTAAGCGGGAACGTCCTGGTGGCGGTGGTGGTGTTGGGAACCCGAAGTGTTGAGAGGGGGGGAGCAGCAGATGATTGGGGGGGCGGGGGGGAGAGAGGGGGGTTTTGGGGGGGGGGGAAGACGAACCACGAACGAGTGAAGCTGCTGCCAGGGTTTGGGGGGGGGGAAGGAGGAGGAGGAAGGGGGGGAGGAGCCACTGCAGGGGGCAGGGCCGCTCTTGGACTCAGGCTGGGCACATCTGGGATGCCGTACGGGTCCACCGAATGACCCTGCACGACGTGTTTTTGCTATAGTACACCCGTGTCGTACCTGGATTTCCGAGATTCCTTCGAAGCTTGCGTCTTGCAGCCAACTACAAGAGGAAAGACGGGTTTTAGGGCGGTGCGCAATTTAGCAATCTAGCAGGAAAAGGAGTTTTCCCGTTCTGGGAAAACGTGTCCACATGCGCGGGGGGGGGTAGAGAGGGGGAGGAGGGAATCATTTCTGATACGGAGACCCCACGGCCAACTGCCGACAACACGTCGGAAGCATCAAACTGTATGCCGCAGGACTTCAAAGCGATGACATCCGGTGGGAGGAGGGGGTCCGAGCGCGCATGTGTGACTGGAGCCATAGGAGAGGTTGGGGGGTGGGTTGGTGAGGGGGGATTTCGATACACTGATTTAGCAAAGCACGAGCGAGGGGACCGTATGGGAAGAAGTGGGAGTCATAAGCCCTAGGTCAGTAAGGTCAATTTAACAAAGAAGACGAACGAGACGATGATGATGGTGATGATGAAGGTGATGAGGGTAATGGAGTGCCTAATTTGGTTGGAGAGGGGGGGGAAACGAAGGAGCCCTCCACCCGGAGGGGGTCCATTCGCACTGCGCTGAATGTCCTAACACGGTTGAAGACTACATCACGGCTTCCGACTCCCCTCCAATCCAGGGCGAGGGGGAGGGGAGGGGGAGGGGGGGACTTCCCCCTATCAGGTTAGGTGGGCGCAGGTAGTCCAGCTACACGAGGCAAGCGCCCCTGGCAACACATCTCCCCCCCCACCCCCAGTCCCCCAATGCCGCACACGATACAGCACGTCGACCCCGACATAGCCCTAAGCCATGAGTACGGCATACATGACTCTGTAAGGTCAGGACGGGGTTAGCGCGAGGATGCAGCTGTACGGCACGGCATGTGTACGACAGTTGTGGCATCCTCACTTTGGGGAGAGTAGCCCGCAGCCCTTCTCGGCCGTGCAGCACATGCAGCATTCTCCGAGCTGAGGGAAGACCAGGTACCTGGAGGAGGAGGAGGAGGAGGAGGAGGAGGAAATTGAAGGTTGTGGGCCGGTGACGGGGCAGGTAACAGGCGCGCTGGCTGTACCAAAATCCCACGGTCGATATGTACGCCCAGAGCCGCTGGTAGAAATGCACGGCTGCATCGCTTGTGCGCTTAGATTTTAGCCATAAGGAAAATATGCAACGTTGACGATATTCAACTCTTCGTAGACGATACTCACCTCTTCCCGCCAGAGACAATGTGCACGCAAGGTGTCTGCGTGAACGGGTGGATGCTTCCGCAATATCGGTCGCCGTTGCCATTCTGGCGATACACGGCCTCCTTCTGGGCCACCGCATCGTAATACCAAGTGCCTACGGTATGTTTCGTAACGAATATGCTTGTCGTCTCGCTGAATTGAACGCTAAACTGTTCGTGCCAAACTGCCACTGGCTCGTCCTCAATTCTATTGTTTATCTTGTGCTTTAAGTTTTGCAGAGTTGTCAGCGCTCTACCCGAAGCAAAAACCCTTGTGCATGCGAGCACAGCAGTAAAAACCAAAGCAGCTCCAACATATGACAAGTATTTCATGGTTGCCAATGGCTTGCTACTGAATTCGTGAGTGTTTTTGACAATTTGCCAAGCGCAGCTTGGCTTATATGCTAGCAGACTAGCGGTTGGCCAATTGGCAGTTGGTTGTCGTTCAAATAGCTGAGTCGAGCATCATTTCATTTGCACGAACGCAGAGCGCGTTTCGTTCTGCCTCTCGCGTGGCCAGTCCGGTACTCCCTCCTTAAAACGCATCCAGGACCCTTCCGAACGTGTGTTAGTGCTAATCTTCAACATGTGCATGTGCGAATTAAAACTACGTGCCTCCAACGACCACCGGCATCGACCCTGCCGCCTCAAAGCTGTTTTCCTCAACCAAAGGCCCTATCCCCTCCTTTCCCCCCAAAGTGCGGAAGCCCTCTGAAACCCGATAGAGCCCAGTACAGCACCGGTGTCAGGGGGAGAATTGTCACAAGAAGCTGCGTTACATGGGAAGAGTTTGCAATATTGCGCTTCCAAGTCGTTCCCGCCGCTAGGCCCATGATTCACGTCTCCCCCAACACACACACACACACACACAGCGCAGGGATGGCAGTCATCGTAATCCCTCTGAAGACGTGCAAAGGAAGTCTGCATCCTTGCTAGCCCTTGGCTTAACATCATGTGCGTAATGCCCCATCATCCGCACTTCCTCAGTCAGCCCCAAGCTGATAGCGGTCTGCACCACAAGCACAGGCATGCGACGACTACATCAACGTATAACCCCGCACGGCTCCAGCCCGGGCTGAATTCACGATGGTGCAAAAATGGCAGGCCCGACCTTGGAAAACTGAGCCTGGTTATGCTTTGCAGCCAAGGTCCTGCGTGAACCAGGCGCGCGTCAAGCCCGGGCGCGCCACGTTATGTGCTCCAATTCACGTCCTCTGGTCGTTTCCATTCGGCTAGAAGCCACGCTCCACGGGCCTCCAAGTCAAGGAGCCTGAGTTTTTGCCTTATCTACTCCATCAATAATCTCGCCAGTCTTAATGAGGTAGCGGACCTTCTTGCCATCCACGACCTTGTGCCCAACGCGGCTGCGAACGTTCTTTTCCGTCGAGTAGAGCATAACGTTGGAGTGATGGATAGGGAACTCCATCGTCTTAATTTGCCCAGACTCGTCCTCCGTGCGCGGCTTAATGTGCTTCTGGCCCTGGTTGACGCCCTCCACGACGACCTTGCCTTTCTTGGCCAGCACCTTCACGATAGTGCCAACTTTACCCTTATCCTTCCCAGCGATGACCTGGACAGTGTCGCCTTTCTTGACGTGCATATCCACACGCACAGCCTTGCCGCTGGGCCCCAGCTCAAAGTGCTCCCACTTACGGCCGCCGCCGATTTTCGGAAGGTCACCATAGGCAGCAACTACATGGGTGGTGGTAGGAGCCAGGCGGCGCGGCGCAGCTGTCCGCCCAGTTGCAACACGCGAGCCAAAGAAAGCAGGCGCACGGGCGCCGAGCAGCGACGCCATTTTGGTATGCTACCTGTAGACGTGCTGTCAGCTAGAGGTAAAGTTTCTAAGAAATGAAGCAAGTGAAAGCTTGCGATTTAGGTGTTGTGGTCGGCGGCGTACGCCGTACTCATAGTTTAGCCCATTTGCCCAATTGGCTTAGACCGTATAGTCATTCCTCATTGCAAGTAACTGGGGAATTCCAAGGTGTTTGTATTTGATGCTCAATCCGAAAGATAGATAATGTCTTTCTCTTTGGCCTGCGGGCTCGCGCAGATTTTCAACATTAGTTCAGAAGCAACTTCTGCTTTAAGACTCAATCTCTTTGCTGTCGAACATTTCCGTGCGGGAAGCACAGTCGATATATGCTCTGGAGCTACGGAATGGCGCTAACGGCAGCTAATGGCATCTCCCCCAACCAACCCTGGATAATGTGACGCACTTGCGGTGCTATCACGGCTCAAGGGTTGTGCAGTGGGAAGAAGTATTGTGTTCGCAGGAGGTTAGCCAGATAGGTATCCTGGCTTCGGCCCTAGGTTGTTTCGCCAGGAGGCCTTCTCGACGGCCCGCTCTGGTACGCCGCTTGTTATAGGGCCCCTTTGTGTACGAGGGTGTTCATGGACGTAGGGCCAAGCAGCACACTGGCGCCTCACAAGTCAAACACCCGTATCGTCTTCCGCGCTTCACTCCACGCGGCCAGCAAGGGCTTTCCACGCTTGCCCACGTTTTACAGCTGAAGACGTCAGCTAGCTAACCTCCAGTCGACCAAAGATCGCGTATTAGGGCGCTATGCATAGAACGTCCGCTCGGGGCACGTGTGGCGCATTGGGGCATGTGTTCCGTATGTTCGGCCTGGGGTCGTGCGCTATGCTGCAGCAAGTGTACACAAGTTCCTATGTCCACTTGCTTTGCAACAAAATCCCCGTCTCGGTGGGCCCTCCCGCGCTTAGGTGGATCGGCCAAATTTTAAATAATGGAGTTTAGAAGTAGTCAGTAAAACTTGCGTGGGTGTTGAATCCATGTTTTGTTGGCGTAAATACGGGGGGAGTCGTATCCATCTGCCGTTGTCCGTCCAAGGTTGCTGCCCGCCCGCACATCCCCCTGGGCTCGGATGTTATCCCTGGCGCGAACCGGCCTCTCCCCGCGGCCTTCTTAAGTCCCGGTGTGCAACGTCGAGAAGGCCCCCTGGGGTCAGGAAGTTGAACATGGCTGCTTCGGGCCAACGTGAAGCCCCCAACCGGAATCAAATAAATGAATGCAATATTATAATACAATTTAATGTTTTTATGGTAAGCTTGAACAGCAATGAGACCTGCGCTGTCATTGCAATGCGAAGAGCAAAACGTCTGTTCTGCCAGTCCGGCCTGCAGGAGGCAGTGCAGCACACCGGGCATGGCGCTTTCCACTGCCGGTGTGTCCCCGCAGTGACCCAATGGCCGATTGCGGCAGTACCTGGGTACGATCTCCGGTCTACCTAAGCATAGGGGGCCCCTCCCGATGGGAATCTTGAAAGCTCAAAGGGATAGCCTTGGAATGGAATGAGCAAAGGAAGAGACGATGAAGTAACTGGACCTGCGGAGTTTAACATCTTTATATTACAAACGGGGGGGGAAATGTGGAGAGCAAAGAAGTGTGTGTCGCAGCAGCAGCCCACGCGTGCGGACCTAGGGCAGGATAAGCAGTTCCAACCGACGGGGAAAGAAGGCATTGTAGGCTCGCTCTGGAAAAGGCGAAGGGTTGCAAAGGTAACGCAGGTGAAGTAAGATATAGGGCTCAGTGCATCGTCGCGCTTGGATGCGCCCAGTTGGATGCCTTGTAACCCTCATACGGGCGGTTGGAGACTGCGGACAGAGGGGTAGGCTCTACCGCTCCTTGCTGAAAGGTTGTCCCCATTACTGTAACTTTGCAAAAAAAGGGATCTATTACGCTGAGTTTGGCTGTGAGGCTCGGTACTTTGTATCCGCGCAGGGCGACTTGAAAGCACGGGGGTAATGAACCTATCGTACACGGCCATCCAGGCCTTTCAGAATCAGCGTTCATTGTTTGTCATTTCTGTGAAGTAAAGTGATGTTCATTCCTGTATTCCTTGTTTTACCTTAGTAGACACCACTTGCATACACTTGACCCCAGTCGAGACACAACTTCTATTCGTCTTTTCTTTTTGGCGTTTCGGAAAAGAACCATTTTTTTCTCGCAGTCTTGCGAGTTATCGTACCTGATATGTAGGGTCGGTACTTGCGACATGAAAGCTTTCGTGACTGCCTAGCTAACGGCTTCCTTTTTTAGAACCGGAGGGGTTTCCCAGTGCACGACGTGCTCTGATTTTTCCGCATCAGTCCGTTCTATCAAGGTTCAGTTCGCCGGAAGTCCTCACACGGGCTTGTAGGAGGGCACGAGCTCCCCGCGCACTCATCGTTTCGAATTTTTTGCCCTTTACGATAGCACGACGGCATGAACCTTATTGTTAATGAATACTAGCTCAATCTGGGCTATCGAAAGCCAGCCGTTAGCGGCATCATGGCGCCGTTCGTGAAACTGCTAGCGGGGAGCTCGCTGCTAGCAGGACTTGTTGCTGCGGTTACCTCCAGGTACGGATCATCATAACATCGCCGTATTGTTTTTCTGTTTCGTCTCAGTACCATCGTCCTCAACAACAACTACCCCCCGCCCTCATGGCGAGCCCTGTTGGCGCAGGCTTGCGCGTCGGAAAAAAAGAAAAGCGCCACCCAGCGAGCCAGCAAGCAGCTCCAAGCTAGGCCCACCAGCGAACAATGCTCCAGAGCAGACGGCCTGCAGCATCAGCGATAGTGGGAGTGCTAGCAGCTCCCAGGCCCTAGCCCCGCTTGCTTCGGGGGCCAGTATGTCCGCACCCACTTGGTGAGTTCCCTAGGGGCGCTGGGGGGAAAGTCCACGGCGGGGTACCGCTCCCACTTGCAGCAGCCTCGGGCTGCAGCCATGGCCCAGGCTGGCTGGCGGCCTCTAAGGGGGATAGAAGCGAAGCACAAGGAAGGGGTGTCGGCAGCTGGACTAGGGTTTTCCGAACTCTTAGTCTGAGTTGAGACTCCTGGGGCCAAACTGGGTTGCTATCTGCTTATCAGCTTAACGACATCTATTGTATTGCAATAGTGCTGCTGCCGGCAGGCATAGTCGCGTGTCTATGCTAACAAAGTGCGCGTATCCTTGATGGCGAGGGAAGATGGGGGCGCTTGGCCAGGGATCGCCACTGACACAGGAGCTCTAGGGGGGGTGAACAGCCCCTCAACCGCATAATAGTCAGCCGAGGGAAACACGGGGAGGGAGGGGCGGGGAGAAGGGGTACAGCCACCGGCATAGCTACGAGGATTCCGCAACTCCCTAGGTAATTTCCAACCCTTTATCTACCTGTACAGGGGCCCATGTACAGGCGCTCATGTCCAGGGGCCCATCCATCCATTTCTACAATGCCGCCCTTCATCCTTCAGCCCCTTCTCGNCCGTTCCCCTCAGGGAACGGTGGCCGGGAAGCAGGACAGCTTACACCTTAACCGGGCTCAACGGCCGTTGAGCATCGCCAGGCCAGGAAAACCCGTCGTACACTCAACACCCGCACCCCGGGGGCCATTGCATCATCCTCCTCCTCCTTCCACTGCAGCTGCAGCAGCCCAGCATTTGCACCACCCGCACCAGCACCACCCCTACCACCAGGCTACTGCTGCTGCTGCTGCTACAGCGGAGCGGTACCGGCGCAGCAGTGAGAGCCAGGGCGGGGGGGCGGCAGGACCTGGAGGGGCGTTGACCTCCTCGGGGGCGGGCTTGCTGTCCCGGCTGCTGCTGGGGTCAGGGGGGGGGAGGACGTCGGAGTCGCTGGAGGGCTCAGCAATCAGCTGCTCAGGTGGGTGGTTGCAAAGGCTGGCTCGGTGGCTGGCTGGCTGGCTGGCTGGGTGCGGTACGGTACGGTACAGTGGTAGTGATAGTGGTAGTGATGATATAGTCAGTGGGGAAGCGGACTGGGGGAGCTTTTCCCAGGAGGCAAGTTGGAGGTGGATGGTTTGGCGCTCCTCCCGGCAATACCACTACTATGCTTATGTAAGTCTGTTTACATGTATGTGGATGTGTCGTACATGGCAGGTGACACGGTGGGTAGCAGTACCCACGGCGGAGGGCATGGCGGGTTGGACGAGTACGACAGCTCGGAGGAGCAGGATACGTCAGAGGGTGGCGCTGAGTCGTCAAGATCAGGGTACGGCAAGGTACGTACAGACTGACATCTTCTCCGTCGCCGCCGCGCTTCTCTTCCGGGTGCTTTCCGGGTTCCGCGTCCTCGATTGCGATTATGTTGTCAGGTACAGGTGGGGTGTGTGCGGGAACACAGCACATTCTTTCTCTCGCACAAGCCCCTCTGGTCCGCTTCAAACAAATTTTTAAATACATATATTCAAATTTGAATGTTTCCCTCCACCACATCCCAGTGGTAAATCCCCGCCTCCGCCTACAACGCTTAACTCCCCAGCGGCATCCCCTCCTCAGTCATAGTCACTCTTCCCACCCACACTACCCATCCTCGGTGAACATTCTCTTTTCCTCTCTCTCTCTCTCTCTCTCTCTCCCCCCTTACGTTATAAAAATCCAGAGCGACCGCGCTCGACTGGTGGACTTGTGGATTGAGTCCGCGCTGCTGGTCAGTCGGGATGTGCGGCTGGACAAGCGGCACTTCGACCGCAGCACACGACAGAACCTCAAGAAGATGCGCCCCGCCTCAGCACAGCTCATCCTCAGCGAGATCGCGGACCGCTCCTGGGACAGCACGCCCGACATCGCCCGGGAGGTGCACCGACTGGTCAGCCACGCCAAGGCACAAGACAAGTTTGCACTGGTGGCGCCTTCGGCCGCATCTGCGGCTTCAGCAGCGTCTGGGACATCGGTTTCGGGGCGATCAGCTTCTTGCAGCTCCGCGTTGTCGTTGGGGATGACGGGCTTGGTGACGGCAGCGGCGGCGGCGGGAATGGGTGTGGGTGTGGGTGTAGCTGGAGGTGTGGGTTCGGGAACTGGAGGGGCTGTGGTGGTGGGTGCTGAGGGGAGGAAAGGAGCGGTAGGGGGGCTAGGGTCTGAGGTCTTGTTGGGGAGAGGGAGAGGAGCGGAGGGTTCAGGGGACAATGGGAGTGGGATGGTGGTATCGGCGCTGCTGGCCACGGGCCGAGGAGGCGGGGCGGCAGCTGCAGCGGCGGCGGCGGCGGCGGCGGCGACAGCGACGCCGGCGGGTGGGGCTGGCGGAGCTGGCCGCTACGCTGGGATGTAAGGAAAACTTTTTAAAAAGCTTTTTAATGTGGGTTCGGTTTCCTCCCCTTCAGCCCTCACTTTCCACAACCTCCGGGATTGTGCAGACATGGAAGCAGTGTTATTGTTGATCTCGAGAATGTTGCGTGTACACAAGAAGAGCTCAATCCACAAACCTTTGTCGCCCGTTACAGTGTCATGTACAGGCCACATGAACAAGCGGATGATACGATAGCCGCAAAATGACACTCCTCTAACAGAGGCACAGGTAAGAGTTACAGGACTCTGGCAAATAGGCGGCAAGTGCGCCGATTCGATTGGTCAATCAGGGCTTTACCACCAACCAGCGAGGTTGCATTTTATGACCATAATTATTATCATCTTCAGCATAACAATAACAATAACGCGGGCGTTGTTGTTGCTACATCCATCCGCGGGCGTTGTTGTCCTTGTTGCTGTCCTTGTAACATCCCTTTCAAAGCTATTACGGCACCAGGGGGAGCAACCCTCTGCGGTCCAACCCATATTGCAACACACACACAGAGAGATAGAGAGAGGGGGAGGCTCACACCCCAGGACGGCGCCAGTGTAGACCCGTCCCGTGGCTGTGTGTCGTGAGGTAACGACGCCCAGCATCCGCCCAGCAACCTCTCTCTCTCGTTCTCCCCGACCCCGTGCGTGTATGGTGGCCCCCGTGCGTGACCCAAGGCAGCCACACGACATCAACAACAACAGCAAATTGACAACGAAATGGCAAATGCTACGGGAGCTAGCCATCCAGTTAATGGCAGTTGGAACTGCAGCTCATCGCCCCGGACAATGGCGCCACAACTCCCTCTTGCCCCCACACATGAACACATAAACACTGTTCCAGCCCCATTCGGACAGGCGAGCATCTGAAATACATCAATATTCCTGCCGGGGCGAGCTTGCGCCGAGTGACTAAAGCTACATCGCGCGCGCGTCACACATACGCGCCGCTCATGTCTGTGAGGGAAAGCAAAGTTCAGAAATACATACATACATATAGTTTTTGGCAGTTCAGTAATAGGACGCGGATGTCGGTCGTAAAGTTCGACTTCATAATGTGCGCGTGTGTGGCATGGCATTATCCCCACCCCGAGAAGACTACACTACCACATTCCCGCGAAACCCCTCCCCCACCCCGCAAAACACCGGAGGTGTTTCGTCTCACGTCGCCACCAAAGCGTTATGGAATATACACACCCACGGGCCCCCATTCAGCAAAGCTACCTCATCAAACAGTGTTAAATCCAGCGTTGTGCATATCTACAAATGAAGCACGGGGATGACTGAACTTCGCACCTACACAATCATGGCCGACATCGCCAAACCCGCATTTGCGCCCTGCTGCTGTTGCGGCTGCAGCAACTTCATGTCCACCAACATCAGCTCGGCTTGTGCTGTAGGCGAAAGCTCCGACAACGCCTCCTTTTGCTCTCCGGGGGGGGGGGATGCACTCCCGGGCCAATGTGGTGGTGGATGGGGAGAGGGAAAGGAGGCTGACGGGGTAAAGCATGAAGGAGCTCGTCGCTGCTGCTGACCTCGCTGTCGCTGACAGAGAGAAATTGACGCCATCGTCTTCATTATTTAGACATGGTGAACTTCCCATCCAAACAGACGGGGACCCCTAAGCGCTCATTTCGCGCCTTCACAAAAGGAGAGCGGCGGCGGCGGCTAGGGGCTAGGCAGGCGGACGCCATACACCCAGGCAGACATTTGTGGCGCACGTGCAGAAGTAAACATACAGAAGGCACACATAACCTTCAGGTTCGGAGCGAGCGAGCGCCTGCACACTCAAGATGTTGGGGACAATGCCAATGGTATACATACAGACATACACATGGACACATACGGCGAAACAGACGGACAGGTACACGAGAGACCCTCGGCCTGACGGATGGCGCTACGCTGGCCGCGATATCACACAACGCAAAGCAGTACGGCTGGGGAGCGGAATCAACCTAACCCCACACCACACCAGCAACCATACCCTCGTGGGCCGGTCTACAACGTAAGTTCAAATCCTACAAAATCCAATCTCCCTGAAACACACGACGCAGGTGCAGCGACAAGGTATTATTTATTAGCGGCAGCTTGCTTGCAGATGAAACGTCTCACACCTTCTACCCCCTATTTGGAACGTCGCAGTCAACAGGTATAGGGGACCACCGTGCAATGAAACCTCACCTCCATGTTGCTTGCCGCTATCAGCGCCGCCACGGCCACCCGCGCATACAACGCTGTCCGCTCTTCAAACTACTCCCGAATTGCCCCATGCTGCTCCAACGGAACCATGCTATTCCAACATGCAGCAGCAGTACAGCCGTGCGCACAGCCATGCACATACATGCGCACATGACATGTATGGCACATGCAGAGGAGGCGGCAGCCAAAGCAGACCCATGTTCATCCCAATTCAATCCTCTAGTAACTTTGATGGCACATCTTGCGGTTGCGGAGCGTCAGCTCAGCAAGGGCGGCAGCAACCCACCTCCTTAAAACCTACCACGTAGCAGACAGACATACAGACATTTTACATCCCCCAATGCCTTGACCAACGGTGGAAACCCACTTCAAAAGCCCTACAAACAAACAAACATACATACATACATCTACGAGATCTTCCCTCCTAATACTCATACACACATAAGTACATACATACATATGTACACACAGGTGCCACGAGAAAGTGAGCTGTGCGCCCTCTGTTGCCCCGGGGTGTGTGTGTGGCCCAGTCATCACTACGGTCATCACTACGGTCATGTGCCGTATCGCGATAGATTCCCGTCGTGGTACGATCCCAAACAGGCAAAGTTGCTGCTGTACGGCAAAGCGGGAAACACACACGCACATACATACACACACGCGCATGGGTACCTCTTAATGCCCCCCTGACCGCCACCAGCACCGCCGCAACCGCCGCCACCAACAACCCCCTTCTGTATCGACCCCGCATCCTGCTACTGCTGCTGCTGCTACTGCATAACGTCGTTCGCATCTCAAGTTCCGTAGCGCAACCTCCGTCATCACCAACAACAGCAACCGTCATTCAGTGCGCTCAATCCATCGATTCCCAACAACAACAACAACAACAACAACAACAATCAATCCGTCGTTTGGCCCCAACCCAACCAATCAAGTAATATGAAGCTCAAGGGCCGCTGTCCTCCAGAGGCGAGGGGCGGCAATGCGCGGCGGCATCTAAACTGTTCTACAGCAGCGGGAGAGAGCCACGCGAGAACCATTAGGGTCCCGTGTGTGTCTGTGTGCACGTCTGCGCTACTCGGTGGCGCATGCCCGAATGTAAACACACACACATGCGCGGATGCAGTTCCCAACTCCCCCCCCCTCATGGACTCCGCCCCAGTATCAACCGGTGCCGCTGCTGCAGCAGCCCCTCCTCCTCCCCACCCAGCGATATCACCAACCCCATACCCGTTCCACCACCACGACCCGCCAGTACCAAAACCCCCCAGCTGCCTCCTCACTTCCCTCTCACGTCACTTCACTTCACTTCACGGGCCACCACCACCAACAACGCAATTAAACAATCACCATCATCATCACAATCACCATCTCGCCGTCTTTTTAACCATCCCGACTGCTTTTCCTCCCCCGCCGAGGCACCACATCATACTGACTCTGCCGTACAAAGGGAGGCTGTCTGTTGAAGGCACGGCGTCAACATCATCATGCGACCTCCCACTACGTCCTTTGCTGCTATGCACAATATTTGTGTAATGTGTCTATTTATGATGATTGTTATTATTATTATCATCAATATTACTCTCTCTTCATGCAGACCGTTGCAATCTCTTTAATGTACCGTGTCGTACGACAACATACAACAGATCAAGTCGTACTGTACTTAAATCTTTCATTCCTTCATTGCAACATCGCAGAAGTACTAAACGAGTGCTCTGTGTTGTGGTAATGAACATCCCGCCATTCCGGGTCTCCGGTTGGTGTGCATCTCCGTACCGTAACGCGGCACCACCTCCCCATCATCCGCATCCATCATACTGTCGTACTCTCCACCTCACTCGGACGATTACGGCCGTGGGTGCCCGCAAACACAACCACCTCCCCTCCTTCGCTCCTCCGCCATCTCCTCCTCCTCCTCCTCCTCCAAAAACACCGCTGGAAACACCACATCCATAGAAGCGACATCTTTCCACATGCGGCAAAACACGCCCATACACACACATCGACACACGCTATGCAACTGCAGTAATCATGTGTATGCAACCCACCTTCCCCTCCTCTGTTCCGAAGGAACAATAACACGTCAACCCCCCCACCACCACCAGGCAGAAATGAACAGCAAGTTTGCCAATCGGCTAATACCGGTGTTGGCTGTCCTGGCTGCCGCTGGCGAAGGGGCCCCCTCCACCTGGCGCCCCAGGTCGGGGCCCCCGGGGCCCCCGGTGTACGGCAGCCCCCACGGGCAGAACCCCCCCGCTGCCACTGCCACTGCCACTGCCGCGCACCCGACCTGCCGATCTAGCCACGGCGGACGCCACCGCCAGACAGTCCGGAAAGAAGGGATACGAGTACACGGCCACCTGGACGCGGGAACGGGAAAAGGAATGGGGTGAAGGACGGCGGGGATATGGGCCGGGGAGGGGGAGGGGGAAAGACGAACCACGTGAACGAGTGAAGCTGCTGCCAGGGCACGAGTGTACCAGAGGGGGAGGGGGGGGGGCCGCGAAGCCGGCGAAGGCGGGTGACAAGAGGAGGGCTGCAAGGGCCTCGTCGGTCGTATCTGTATATATATCATCACCGAGTCTACACACATAAACAGCTCTCAACCAGGAACCTCTAATGGTACACCAGCCCCAGTCCAGTCCAACCCAATCCACCAGGCTCCTGTTTGCCTTTCCCAACCAGCCTAGCAAAGCCAACAACCCCCTCCCACCCGACCCCCCTCCCCAGCCCCCTCAGGGCCACAGCAACCCACCTACACAGCCGGCACCCACCCCACCCCAGCCCAATCCCACCTAGCCACCCCCCACCTTGGCAAACTGCGGAGGCGCCAGCACCTTCCCAAAGAAGAAGCAGCTCAGCAAAGTGTGCGCCGAGTGCTCCTTGGCCAGGTTGCTGTGTAGCCGCTCCGTGAGCTCCATCTCCGCCGCGAACTCTTGACGGCCCACCGCCAGCAGGGCGGGGGCGGGGGCGGGGGAGGGGGTGCTGCTGCAGGTGGGCGGGGAGGGGGCGGGTGGGCTGGCGGAGGGGCTGTGGGAGGCGGGGCCCCAAGGCTCCAGGGTACCCCCTCCCCCTCTCAGGCCCGAGCAAATCAGCTTGCGCTCCTCGTACACCTGCGATGATGCGTTGAGGCGGCGGCGGCGGAGGGCTGGAGGAGGACAGTGACGGGAGTCGTATATGATGATAATGAGGGTGATGATGAGGCGGCCAGGGGGCCCGGCATTCACTGTCGACACGTCCGGAGCACCAGCAGGAGGTGGCAAGGGCAAAAGGTCATAAGGGGAGGCAGGGAAGAGGAAGAGGAAGAGGAGGAAGAGGAGGAGGAGGAGGAGGAAAAGGAGAAGCCGAGTGCAGCCGCAGGACAGTGGGAAAATACTAAGCCCCCCACTTCCGTACCACCACCGAGCACCAACAGCGCCTTCCTAACCTCACTATCCTCCTCCTCCTCCCCCCTCCCCCTTCCCCCCCCTCCATATGCCCGTTACCCCATCTCCAGGTCCTGCTCTCCTGGCGGAGTCATTTCCGGGTCCTTCCCTTCCCTTCCCTTCCTCCTCATGTAGCCACAACTTCTACATGCAGACCCTCCCCTGGACCTCCCTGGACCGGGGACGGTCTGGGACACCCTGACAGGCACTATGTACATACCTTATCTAGCAGGCCGTAGTACAGGTCCAGCACCGCCAGTATGTCGGCCCGCTGCTCCGCCCCCAGCTGCAAGGACGCCACCACCGCGTCCCAGTGGGATTCGGCGGGCGCTGCGGGCTGCATGTTCTCCAGGTTGAGCAGCAGCAGCTGCTTCATGAGCGGCGAGTTGAGCAGCACCAGGTGCTTCAGCAGGTGGCCCATGCGCTCCACGGACGCGGTCACCTGCTGTACGATGGGGTTGGTGGGGTCGCAGCAGGGGTGCTGGCAGTGGAGGAGGTGCCGGGAGACCTCCGCGAGGAAGGCCTTGTACTGCGGAACGACCTGTCGCATGGGTCGGAGGGGGTGGGTTGGAGCGGGGGTGGGGGGATGGAGCGGGGGTGAAGTGGGGATGGACGAGGAGACTTGAGGAAGGGGGAGGAGAGGGAGGGGAGGGGAGGGGACGGGAGAAAGGGGACCATAAGTGAGAAAGCGGGAAGTGAACTGTCGGTGTCCGAGGAGGGGTTGAGAGGGAGAGGGGGGGGGTAAGACGGACCGCTGGCGATTGAAGCAGATACCCGAGGCAGACGGATATACTCCCACAAGGATTAGACACAGAACTGCAGGAAGGGAGGGAGGGGGCCGGTTACGTGCAAGAAGATGAAGAGGGAGGGAGGGGACCTGAGTGGCTGCTGCACGGACAGACGCATCGTCATCATCATCATCTCAAGCCGCTGGACCAACTTTCCCAGTCGCCACCGCAACCAGCAACGGCAGCGAAAAGCATACATACATACAGAGGCACCACCACCGCTAAGGCCCCAACTTTCCGCCTGCCCTTTCGCGCACCTCTCTCCGGCCTCCGCGACCCCAAAACACACCAAGTAGTTAAGAGAGCTGAGACGTGGAATTATTATTACTAGTGTTATTATTTAATTCTGTCACCCTCACCTGCTCCTTTCTCATCTTGCGGAAGGAGTCCTGCATCGCTGCGGAGCCCTCAGCGACCGTATTGGAGCCGCCACTGCCGAAGCAGGATTGCACGTGGGGCCCGGCGGTACGGCACCGCTCTTCAAAAGCCTGAACCAGGCTCAGCTGCTCATCGCGACAGCCCACCACCTGCGACATGACGTATGGATACATGTACATGCGTACATGTAATGTAATGTAATGTATACAGGGGGGGATCTGGACGGGTTTTGGAGAAAACTACAACAGGGCACCCTTGCAACACCTTTGGAGGGTAACGCGGCGAACTTCCTCGAGAGCAGCGCGCCCCCCGTCCCCCGGGCGACACGTCCAACCCAACAGCTGGTCGAGTGATAGAGATACGCCACGGAAAAAGGGAGAGGGCCAAGGCATAACACATACACTTATACCATTACGACAGCTCGAAAAGTCATGAGCCCGTTCAGCAATCGACCGACGTGAGGCCCGCTAAGGATGTGAGGATCCACAAAAGCCACACACCCACATACACACAAGACCCCAAGCGGCAGTCGCATAGGGTGCAGGTACGATTGGGCAGGTACAGTGGACCGATGCATGTATAGCTCTTTCCCTGACCACAAGACCGGGTGCCCGCATCGCAAAATTCCAGTTTGCGCTTTGCAGGGCTGTCCATAGCAGTGCCATAAATTTCCAGCACATCCGCCCGGCAAGTGCGACATCACAGACCCTGGTCGGTCTGAAGGGGCTGCGCGAAGACAGAAGCATTGACGGTAGCATATAGGAGATGAACTGGCATACTTGCCTTCTCCAGGATACGGGTGCGTGCACGCAAAAGCAGGTTCTCGTGAGCCAGCTGTTCAAAAGCTGCCTTCTTCTCAGCAACCTACAGAGAATATTATTATAAATTATTCCGGTTACATGCAGAGTTTTGCATTAATGAATCGCATAAAAAGCAAAGCCAGCGCAGTAACTCACCTCACGCTCGAGGCAAGACATCCGCTCCTTCTGCCGAGCACGAAACCGCTTCTGGGCATTTTGATAATCATTCTGGGGCTTGTGGGCGTGCGTGTGCCCACTCCCCGAACTTGTCGGACCGTCAGCCACTCGACCCTCAACAACCTCAGGGCAATTCTGATACATTGTTCCAGTCCCATCCAGCAATACACCTAGCTTGGAGAGCGGCTCCGGCCGAAGGAGCTCCTCTGGTCGAGGCAACCCCAAGAAAAAACCATGTCCTCCGTCAAACTCAGCAAATGAAGACGCTAGCATTGAAGCCATGGAATATATAGCCAGGTATTTAGCTTACGATCAGGCACGTGTTCAATCTGCCACTCAAGTACGGTTAGATAGCCTTGTGTCGCAGCTAGAGGATTTCACTGTTGCATTGCATTCACATTTGAAAAAGGAAGAGCTGTAGCCGGTCCATCCCAGTAACTCAGCAACAGCTGAGCAGGTCTTTGCTTTTCGCTTACCGTCACTTTCTCGTCCAAGTACGGATGTTACGGTTCGGGCATTCAACTTCGCCTCATCCGCCGGTGCCTCTGCCGCGTATCACATTGATTCGCTCCTTCGAAATTATATCTTTATGTCATGTGGCACGGCACCCTGGAAACATGACTATAGGTCGAAGTAACCATTCGTGGCATGGCCATGTCCCATACTTCACGCGGCTCCACCAAACTTCATTTATGTCTCCCATACTGTTTAAAGCATTCCGTTAATTACGGTCAGACTAACACATCCTTATTACTATTACTTGTGACGCATAGGAAGAACAACTCCTGCCGTACTATCGTACGTCGTACCCTAACAAGGGTATATCCTTCCTCTGGTTAGTTCCGTCTAGGCGGACATCGTCCTTAGTACTCGTTACAAATACGCTTCTCTCTTGACCGCACACAGCTTGCATTGCCTTCTACATCCATGCAACAAAACACGCTTTCTCCCGACAGCCAGCCCTGGCCAGCCATCCGATGCCGTACCGTAGTCGTAGTGTACTGCTAGTCGTGGTGGCAATCATGCATCAAACGTATTTGGCGAATCAGGCAGCAGCTGGATCAACGCAGTCGGTGAGGCTGCTGTTGCTGTGGTGCGGGATTGGCGCATGCAGTCAACATCACATCCTCTCCTCTTCCGTCCAATCAAATACAGCTCTCTTCCACGGCCACACTGGCCTCGTCCGCCTTTTGTCCAGCCACACTGTCAACTGTTGTGGACGCGGCTGATGAGCTTAGGTGCTAACGGGAAAGCAGTTAGGGTTTTACTACAGCCTCCGCAACTGTTACAACTGCGAGGCGGAAAACCCCGCATCTCCTGCAGCCCGTTAATGGGCGTGTATAAGCAATTCCGGTTGAAGATCACATACGGAGTTGCCACGCAGCGGACAGGAACGCCGTGTACCGGCCATCCTATTTGGGCCGGAATGCTAAATTCGCCATTTGGGTTTTAGGGTTTTAATAGGTTTGCTCCGGAAGACCTCCGCTTTTGCTGTTTAATTCATCATAGGTGGTTGGGGTCATGGTTGAGATCACCATCACCATGGTTGAGATCAAGATCACCATGGTTGAGTCATTCACGCTTTCCATGTCACGTGAAGTTAATAATGGATTGGGAGTTGCTTGGGTGGCGAACGGGTTTGCTCAGCCCTGGCGTTCATTTCTCAAGTTCCCCATTCCGGTGCGATGCCCACAATGCGCTGGCACCGCACGCCGTCCCTGCCATCTCATTGGTGCGTAACTACGGCGGTTGATACTCTTTCAGATTATGAATCTCATTTTCGAGACTGCGCCTTCTTCGTACTTCGAAATTGCCTTCATCTCTGCGGAGCTTTCCACCTAGCATCCAAACTCCGGTTACAGTGTCTTTGTAACCTTGCACAGCCTATGACTTGCACAGCAGAGCAGCAACTGGTAAGTACCTGCACCTGACTGCAGCCCATGTAGTGGTGTATCCCCCGAGCAACCAGCACCGGAACCATAACAGTAGTCGGGACGGACGTATCGACAGGTGCTGGCACTGCCTTTTAAGAAACCGTCTCATCGCCCCCGGCAATTGCAAGCAAGGCAGCATGACCACCACTAGAATGGCAGTATGCACCAAAACATGCATGGCGCCCGAAAGCAACGCAGTGGCATCTTGTAAATGAATTCAACACAAAGCGCCACGCAGCTGAGTACAGCACAAACCTGCACTGCCTGGTCAGCCTGCCCAACGCGGTTTTTTCCAAACCCGATTATTAACCGATCTGGTTCCCCCCCCCAGCCCCTACCCCAGGGGAACGGGTGCGCAGAGGAAGGGCCTTACCTTACGGCACGGGCCCATCACTGTTGCTCACTGTCACCAACGCCACATACCCCTGCAGCCCTTTAACTGGCCTCTGATGAACATGTACGCAGAGCATGTGTCCCCTGTGGCTTCAGTGGACCGAAAGAGTGCAAAAACCACAGAGTCCAAAGCTGCTACTGTTCAGACGCAACCACTGCCGTTGACGCGCAGCCGCCATCGGTGGAAACGCGCGCGCGCGCGCGCGAGAGAGAGAGTGTGTGTGTGTGTGTGTGCGCGGGGCCCACAGCCAGCCGTGAATGCGAGTGCAAATTGCGCCTATGTTCCCAGCGCGTGAGTGAGGCCACGTGTCGCCGATAGAAGCCCAGAGGTGGCTGGCGGCCTCGCCTACGGACGTAGACGACGGCCTCACGAGGTGATAAGAGGCGGCGGCGCCGACGAGGCGCCTCAAGATGCCTTCTTGTCTATCGTCAGCTCCGAGTGTATCGTCCAAACCCCCAGGACCTGATACGCCACCTGAAAAGCAGCCACACAGGCGAGCAGCGACCTTAATATTTAGAGGATAAGATGGCATCGTTTAAAAATAACAACGTGAAAACATGAGGAAAATGAAATACATAACGAATATTTGCGAGTTCAAAACGATTAGATATGAGTGCAAAGATATGAGTGCAATAAGAGGCGGCGGTGACTTGAGACAAACACGTCGTAGTAGAAGACACGGGGGAAGGGACGAAAGGAGGAGCGAATACGTAATGAGGCGCCACAGGCGCGACTCAGGGCAAAGCAGATATGAATGATGACATAGAATTAAGCAAAGACATATCCGCCGTAGCGTCGACATACTTTACTCAAAACACACCTTTATGATCAGCAGCTCCAGCGCCATCAGGAGGATGGACGTGAAACGAATCTTGGATCCAGGAATTTCAGTCCAGTTGACAAAGACCTGTCGCACAAGCACGGTCGCATGCATCCACGTAACCGCGGAGGTTTGGACGACGGGAGATGAAGAGGAAGAAATCGTTTGGCCATCAAGAATGACCAGCGTGAGATTGGATTTCAAAACTGGATAGTCCCGGTGCTAGATCTCTTTTGTAATGTAATTTAATGTTACAGAGTGGGAGGCTTCTGGGCCGCTTTAACACATCGATCTCTTTTAACACCGCCCCGAGTGCCCTTCCCGTGTCCGGGTGGCACTAGGGGTTTTAAGCAGTATTTGATCTTCGCATCCCCGGATAAGAAGAAATATAGGAGGTGTTTCATCCCCAACGCAGCCTACTCACCTTCCGCGGACCAGGTCAGCAGCGGCCTTTCTCCTCATCCCCCGTGCCCTGCCCCCTACCCTCCTAGGGCACAGCACCTGCGTCACGGGACCCGTTCCCCAGGCCCGAGGTACGACACTCCCCTGCCCCCGATGTGCTACGTTACCTCGCACACGGGTATCTGCAGCTGTTCCGCCAGGTACAACAGCTCCACATCGAAGCACCAGCGCTGCAGCCGCATGTTGGAGAACAGGATGGCTGCAGAGCGACGGGTGAACAGCTGCGTGTGCGGGGAGGGGGGCCAGGGGAGGGACAGGCCCCATGTCCATAATGGCCACACACAGAACTCAAGTTAGCTTTCATCACCTAAGGCGCACATGAATTCAACGATATAGGCTTCAGAAAATGCTGCAGCTGGCATCCAAAGATCACGCAAAGATCTGGCCAGGGGTAAGCCATTCCCCTAGGTGTGCACCCGCAACACGTCCGTCCCTCCTCTCGCCACCAAGTCCTTCCACCTCCTCCCACCTTCCTCCGCCCCTTCAAGCTGCCCAATCGGCAGCTTCCCCCCCCACACACCTTGAAACCGCATTGTGTATCCCGGATGCGCCCCCCGGCCACGAAGTACACCAGCATGTGGAAACCCCGGGTAAGAAAGTTGCGCAGCCGACTACGCTTCACAATCGCGTCCTTGTGTAGGTGGGCCCGGCTGCCGTACGCCACGCCCAAAGGACCTTGCGTGTCGCCCGTGGCGGCGCTGGCAGCCGATGACCGGCCAAAGCCTGTGTGAACGGCACCACGACCGCGCGACAGGAAAATGCATGTCGAGGATCGACACGGATCACTTCGCATGTCAAGGTGGATGCATGCCACGGCGGCGGGCCTGGCAAACGTGCAATTCCCTGGCCTTCTCATGCGAGTGACATCACAGCCCCAGGCAAACCACCCGACTTTTTCTACACTGCCCTTTCCCAACCCTTTACTTCTTTCATCCCTCTATTTCCGTCCCTCTTTCTTCCACTTCCACTTGCACTCTCTTCAGTCTTACTCGGCTGCAGTATCTTGTCCAGCTCCGCCTCCAGCTTCTCCAAGTCAGAGAAGCGCGTGGCGCCATCTGCATCCATCAACAGACAGTACTCCCCTCGCGCCGCCAACATGCCGCGCTTCACTGCATGACCTTTACCGCGGTTCGCCGACACTCGCAGCAGCCGTACGGTGTCCATACCGTACTTTCGGACGTAGCTCTGAGCCACCCTGCCAGTGGGGAAGTAGAGACCGGGCCGCGGCCGGAGAGATCCATTCCCGTAGGTTATGGCATGCGGCGCTGGCCGTCACATACAGCAATGCCGCATTTGAAAAACACACAGCCACACCCGAATCGAAAACCTCCTGAGCAGCTCCCCCAGCCAGACGACACGCGGCACACAGTCCCTCCTTCGTCAGTGAGTCCACACGGGGCCCCGTTCACCGCATAGCCACACACACACACACCTGGCCGTGCCGTCCTTGCTGCCATCATCCACGATAATGAGCTCGTAGGTGAACTGCGGGCCCTGCCGGTCCCGTCGCCGCTGTAAGTACCTGAAGCGGGCGCAGAGGCGGAGATCCGAGCAGGAGGAAGCAACATCAGCCCTGTCTGCGATAGACTTGCATGCTTGCAGTGGCGCTGGCAGCGGCGGCAGTGGGGGCAAAGGAAGGCCGGGAAAGGTTGGGTGAAGCCACATGTCCCATGCGCTGCTCGGCATGTCGTCTGGTGGGTGCCCACATCCCCCTCCCACCGGCCAGCGAAACTGGGCGACCGGCCCGATGGGATGGGGACGTGGACAAAGATGGCTTTAGCTCAGGTTCTGGGGCATGCCCGATCACAGGCGGAACGTACTTAGGAAAGGCTGACACAAAACAGCGAACCCGGATTGGATGACCCAGATCAAATAAATTACTTGCAGGCTGCAAAAACGCCGAGGTGTGGCTCGCTGTGATGGGAGCTTGTGGGACGCGGCCGCCGTTGCTGCTGGGTGGCCCCTTCCTTGCTGGGTTGCTGCTGGTGCTGCAGCAGACACGGCGACGGCGGATCCCTCTTTCATGTAACCTCCCGTGCGTCTGATAGCAAGGGGTGACTTACGCAAGCGCTTCGTCGAGGGTTGATGGCAGCCGATCCTCCTCATTATATGCAGGTATGATGCACGACAGCGCCTTTGTCGGTGCGTCAAAAATGGATGGGCATGCGACCTGCGAAAAGGACGAAATGCCTTGGAGGGCTGGAAGCCGGGGTGCAGCGGAAGTGCAATGTCGCAGCTTGGAAGCAGTGCTTGGCGACATGCATGCGGGCATGCCTTCCCGTGAGGTGCAAGCTGCAATGCCCGTAATCATTGTGTGCGTACCGGGGACGTCGAGTCGGGATCCTCAAGGGTGCACGAAATGGGCTCCGTGAACTCCTTCGACAGTGCCGTGACCAAGTTGATCACCTTGCCTAGGGTGTAGCCGGCGGCCAAAAGCTGCGATCAGAGCCAAGTGCGTCAGGTTTGCACAGGGAGTTGGCTGGTATTGAGTCTAACCAGTCTCACCCCAAGCCACAGTAGGATATCGTAAAACATAGCAGTATAAGCCAGATGAAGACGTGAAATGTGATCTGGTTAACCGGAAGGCATGGGGACGCTGCGCACTAACACGAAGCGGTCTATCGATGTAGCGGGTGAGCGTAACACAACAGCATTTGAGTTATCAAACACTTATAGAAGAGGAGGAGCATGTAGCGGCAAAGCCTCCTTTGACTTGCAACGTAGTACAGTGTCTTGCGATATACGGAAAAGCCGACAGCCCAAGGCGAATAGATAACCGTGGTCTCTCTGTTAACCTTGGTCTTGCATGTTTACCTGTTAATTTAATTGAACCTATTGACGAATTACCTTTGAACGCTTATCGTTGCGTTTTCTGGAGGAATGGCGGACCCCGGGGGCGACCCCTCATGTGAGCTTTTATTTTCAGCTTGATATAATGCACAAAAACGTTTTCCTGCGATACAACATCTAATCTCCACCTCAATGGCTTGGGCTGCAGATTTCTCGCTCTTTGTGGGCGACTTACCCCCAGAAGTCCACGACCACTTCCTGGAGTCCTTTTTCCGACAATATTTTCCTTCAGTCAGAAGCGCAAAGGTGTGTGCGCATGCGTTGCGTTGGCATGAGACCACGGCTCTCGCCGTGCACCACGCACCACGCAGCCTGTAGTGCGTGTCCCACAAAGCACAATTACCTGCTTCTGAGTCTCATGCACACTCCCCATCGTTTCAACCTGCGCATCCGCAATCACCTGACTGCAACGAGGCGGTCACATACATACAAATTCACCACCCACATCCCAGCTCTGCTATGATGCGCATACCTCTTTGCAAGAAGTTCCCTGAGGTTCCCCCCATCGGGAACAAACTCTATTGGCCCATCACCTCCGTTGCTCCTCAACGCCAATGTCCCATTCACTTTATTCACAACTTTCCGCAAGCTGTTATCCCCCCAGACCCTGTCCCGGTCCCTAACACGCACTCTCCCCCACCCTCCCCACCCACATCCCCCCCCTATGTTCCTGATCCCTTTCTTACCACGATATGCGCAGCTCGCAACCTGATGCCGCTGATGTTTGTAGAACATAATACATGTGTACGGTTGCTCTCCCTTTTTTCCCTCTTGCCCAAACCTTCCCATCCCTTTACGCCGCTCATTACATCAGGTCATGACCGACCCGGTGACGGGCCGCTCCAAGGGCTACGGCTTCGTGCGCTTCGGCTCCGAAGCCGAACGCGACCGTGCCGTTGTGGAAATGAACGGCGTTTTCATCTCCTCCCGTCCCGTCCGCGTCTCCGTCGCTACCGCGCGCCGCATTGACGGAGGACCTCTGGTGCCTGGCGGCGGCAGCCGGGTGCCGGGATCTGGCCCCGGCGGCGGCGGCGGCGGCGGCGCCCTGGGAGAAGCTGATCCTAACAACACAACTCTGTTTATCGGGGGCCTTTCTTCTGGCGTCACTGAAGATCAGCTGCGTGGGGTGTTTGGGCGGTACGGCGAGATCATCTACACCAAGATCCCGCCTGGCAAGGGCTGCGGGTTCGTACAATTCATCGACCGACAGGCTGCAGAATACGCCATGCAGGAAGTTAACGGACAGATTATTGGTGGCTCCTCTGTGCGAATATCTTGGGGAAAGAGCACGGGGAAAGGCGGCGGCGGAGGTGGAGGCGGTGGAGGAGGCGGCTACGGTGGTGGTGGCGGCGGCGCAGGAGGCGGCGGCGCGTCCACGTCGGGGCATTATGGGTCAGGAAACTACGGTGCCGGGTACGGCGCGTACGGCTACGATGCGAGTTCGTACGGTGCAGGGTACGGTCAGTACGATCCGTACAGTGCGGCGCAGTACGGCGGATATGGAGCGGATCCTTACGCGGTGCGTGGCCTTTTTAATGGAGTTCGTTGCATCGAACGGAGCTGAACGTGGTAATCTTAAGGCCCCTTCTTTTGGACGTGGGGCCCCTGGGTGGGCTCCGTTGGCTTCCTTACCTGCGACCACTCCAACATGGTCTCTATTACCACCATCATTATCATTATCATCATCATCACCATCATCATCACCGAACAGGCTGACGGTTCTACAGCCTCTCTCTCCCCCCCCCTACCTCCCTTACCTCCCCCACCTACGCCAGTTTCCCGTCTTCTAACTCTCGTTCATCCAACCGTTGCGACCTCAGGCGTACTATGCGGGCGCCTACCAGTCGGCGGGCATGGGAGCCTCGGCCGGTGGCGGCGGTGTGGCCGGGACAGGGAGCGGTGTCGGCGGCGGCGGCGGCGGCGGTTCCTCGGGGCCCCACACGGCGGTATACGACCCAGTGACCACCGTCAGTATGGAGAAACTGAACGCGGCCTACGTTCAACGCCACATGCCGGGATACACGGGGAGCTATATGGGCCTTGTGAGCAGCTAGGTTAATGACAGCGCAGGGGGGAGACATGTGGGCATTGGGGCTGGGGGGGATAGGACGAACCACTGACGATTGGAGCTCTGGGGGCCTGGAGGCGGCCGTGTGAGACACCCTGATGTGGGAGGCCTCACTTGCTGATGACGTGGATGATCCTGGATAAGCTAGTGCAATGCTTGTGAGGAGTTGTCGATTTTGTGGCGGAGCTAGACCTATGGCACAAGGTCAGAAAGCAGCTGGGGCCTGGGAAAGTTTTCAGAGGGAATGGTTGCAGGATTGTGGCTTAAGGGCAACAACACGATAACTTGTCTGGCCGTGTGCTCCGGTTTGTGATGCGTTCCAGGCGAATTTGGATGATTGGGAAAGAGGAGTGGCAGGCTGGTATGGGGGTATGGATTGGAATGGGATGAGAGTAGAATGGGATGGGATCATTAAAGTGGCTTTGGGGTGAGGGTGGCAAAGGGGGTTGCAGAGGGGTTCAAAACTTGTTGAAGGGGCAACAGATGGTGGCAACATGAGACAGGCACCCGAGGGACGACAGGAAGGGAACACGGGCACGAGTCCTTGGGGTGCCTGCGCCGCTGTTCTGGAGTGGTTGGATGTAATGGCCAGAGCGCCATGGGCAGCTGATGGCGCACCCTGACATCCCAGAGGGGAGGACGTGGGGGGAGGACGTGGATGAAAGCGTGAGGAGTGGCAGGTGGTTTAAGGTCTGTCATTTGTCTTGAAATGCACATGCTAGTGATATTAACAGCTCCCTGCCCTCTGCATTTCTCTTTCTGTCTAGACACATCTGTCTGGACATCTAGACGCGTATGCTTCCAACCACTCACCAATCGGCCCTTGAACTCCAATACCACACCTTCTGGCAATGGCCTGTTCGCTAGCTATTCCACTCGTTCGTCTACCTCATGTAGCCTTTGCTGGGCTTCTTTCCATACGTCGTGCCCCAGAAAACTTGGAAAACGGACGACTAGTGCCCCCCATCTGGCCCCTTCCGGGTTGGAGAGGGACTCTACGACTTCTATCGCAAAACTTGGTGTGCCACAGAACCCTCGCTGGAAACGGGCACGGCTCCAAAACCTCACAGTCTGCTTGAAAGCGTGGTAGTGTAGGGGTAGCCACGACAATTCAGCGAAGAGAATGCGGTGCACTCTCCCTCTGGCAGCTCCCGCAATTTGCAGCATGACTGGTAACTGGAGCTGCACTGCTATGTCCTTCAGACTTGCCTCGTAGGCCCCTCCGCAAGGTTACTCGCATCAGTCCGCTTCCTGAGCCTGTCCAGGACTTCAGCTAGGGTTTGAACGGTTAAACGGCCCCCACACTTGACAGCCGTACAACACTATTGGTCGTACCTGCGTATCAAAACACCTCATCCTTACATCTGGGGCGAACATCTTTAGCTTATCCAATTTCGTACTCAACGCGAACATAGCTGCCCTATCTGTGTCGTACAACTTCTGGGGGCAGACCCAAAACGGCCGTTCTGGCCCATGCACTAACCCCACATATCGTGTACTCTCCTTAGCCTTAGCGTAAGGTGTGACCTTGTAAAACGAACGGACTGCAATGTTTACGGAACGAGCAGCACTTATAATGTCGCCCTTTTTTGGTGCCAGAAGGTGCCCAAAACTTCTCTTAGGTTTATTGACGTAATTTCGGTCAATAAACCGAAATTACGCCCTCCCGCAGCCGTATAAACCGATTTGCCGACCTGATGGTAACTGCAACACAGAGCGGTGCACTTCATTATGGCGATGACGGAACTAGATGGCAAACTGGCAAAATGACTAAGCCCGTTTTTCCCGCTTGAATGACATGGCAACAGGCGAGCACATGCGCACAGCTTGCGTATATTTGTCGTTCTTCTTGCATCTATGTCTCCGTTCTTGAAGCAACATAGATGTGAGTATAGAAATCAATCCAAAGTAAGCTTGTAGCTGATGGGCAATGTTGCTGTCAGCAGTCACGGGGGCCCCCGGCCCGGAGCCCCAAGCCCTGACGTAACCTCTACAAACGCTCCGCGGGGATTTCGCCTGCTGTGTGGATTAGGTTGTAAAGTCGTATGTGAAAACCCGAATGACTTGAACTGTTAAACAATGTCACAGGCGTTGTGCAGTGGGTTTGCATTCCGACAAAAGGACATGTAATTGCGTTGGTATATGCCAGGAGATAGGAGAGAATGGCCGAACATCTACAATCTTAGGTAATCACCGCAAGCGCCCACCCTGTCGCCATCGATTGATGCGTCAGACACATTTTCCTGGCTCGTCTGGGCCTTACGGGCTGTCGCGGACTTGTGACATAATACACAACATAACATGATTACCGCATAACTGTTCAAGTTGTGACCAATTCCAAGGCTTGCTGAAGTATCCTCTGCCAGGATGGCTGCCCTTTTGAGGATGTTCAAAACAATAACGACTATTGCCACAATTGCAATGCTGTCTACGGTGGCAAATACAAAGTCTCCATCGCCCTTCAACTGGCTGTGCCAGGGGAAGAAGTTTGCCCCGGAGTCGCAGTGGCGAGCTTGCGCCCTACGAACAATACAAGAATGGAATAACGGCACTATCAACGTTATGAGGTAAGCGATTTGTCCATGCCGTGTTGTTGCAGCAGCTTTCCACGGTCATCCATAGCTCCCGTTTGGAAATTGCTTGGCAGAAATGCTTCGCGCGATGCTGAAAGATTAGATAGATTAATATCATGTCGTTCATGAATATAATTAATGTATCAAACAGCCGAAGTGTGGTTTAATCGTGGGACGGATTCCGCGATGCCCCGTCTGTCCGCAGCATTCTAACGTGTGCCTCTTTTACGGATTTGCTGCTTCAGCGACGGCCTTAACGTAACCATGCAAATGTACGCGGGATTTGTTGACCCCAACATCGTGCTACGAGTGGAGCCCCTGGGCACCTTTGTTGGCATGGAGATGGTAATCGAGTACGAGACCATTTTCGCGGCTCCCGGCGGGTAAGAGAGATGGCAATCTGAACATAAACTATGAATCCTTGAGAAGGATAAATGGTGATATCAGTTTATGAGTAAAACTATATAATTGAATAGTTCGTATCTCCCACTCTTGTACTGACACTGGGTGTTTAGTAATATACAAATATATAATTCACATTCACGGATTATAACGAATAATAAAACTATCAAACACTAACGTGAAAACTGTCATTCAGTCGCAGTAGGTACAGACTCTCTGAAAAATTCGGGCCCCCGTACGTGGAAAGCCGAAGGACCCACTGGATACGTCTCGTATACTAACACTACCACCTGAGCAGGGACCTTTACTGTCATCATATGTTCTCCTCCATCTCTTTAATTGACCTCTGTTTTTTAATTATCCGTTGCTGCAAACGCCCCGTTGACTAGCGGGGCTGAACGACTGGTATAACGCGGAATTTGCATGGACCGTGATCAGCATATGCTCGAACTGGTCGTTGTAAGCAGACAGAGCATTCATCCGCATTATTGCGTAGTCGTGGTGGTGCGTAACCCATATCTGCTAACCGCTCCATACGAGCCGAGGGCTCAAGGGCTGCCAGATCGCCTACAAGCACCATCCTATCTCGCACTTCAGGCAAAGCATGTGATAAAGGTTACTAACGATCAAAGGGAACGATAGAGTTGCGGTGGGACTACATACGTTCCAGCATCCTTGCCAGACGTTCAAGTTCCCCCTTCATCGCGTCCTTCATATGCTCGAAGCAAACCCCTAAAACCCTGAAGCCCTAAAACCCTAAAAAAATCCATATCAGATCTGATTTTGCCGTACACCGGACAGTCCAGCAAAACGTGCTTCTCATCTTCAATATGGCTATCAGGGCCGCAGCAGGGGCATACTCGCTCCTCCATAGGTATATAACGCCGTCCCTTGCATGCTCTGTTTGCTGCCAATGCCCAACAACAGAGCCTAAACTGCATACCCTGATAACATAAATGTTGTGATATGCAGGGGCATCTCCTTCCTGCTCGCTTGCACGGCCGCCAGACCCATCCAGTGCTGATATTCCGCCATGTGGATTCCCGGTTGTTTACTGTGTGACGGGTACACGTCTGGCTGGACATCCAAACGCGTATGCTTCAAACCAATCATCAATCGATCCTTGAACTCCGATACCACACCTTCCTGCAATGGCCTATTCATTGGCCATTCCGCTCGCTCACCTGCCTCGCACAGCCCTTGCAGGACCTCTTTCCATACGTCATGCCCCAGAAAACTTAGTTA